AAAAAAACTGTCAAGAAGCCATGGTGCCTTATGCAGGCTTGTTCAGGATCTGCACTCCAATTCTTGGGATCCCTGGTGTCAGGAAAAGCATTTACCAGGGCCACAAGCTCCTCATCATTGCCTTTGTCAGGCTCTACAGGCAAGCATGCAGCCATGGCACTCTTGACCAATCACTGTGCACAGTGTGCTTTGCAATTGTGATTCCTGTTGTGATTAGATGTAAATCTGTTCATGCAACCATACAAAGAAGAGCTTCTTTGAATAACAAAGAAGAGCTTCTTCAATGTTGAAGAAGTGCTTCTTGAAGGCTCCAAGAAGAGCTTCTTTATTTTTGCATGTTGAAAAAAGAGAAGCTTAGTTTCTAAGCTGCTAGAGCATCAAAAGGCTGCGAAGAAGACAGGTTTCTTAGCTTCGAAGCTTAAACCCATGCTTCCAAAAGGTAGCTTCTCAAAAGTCAGAAGCCACAAAACAGGGATCGCATCTAAGAAACTGTTCTTCTTGGAGGCTTAGGGTCCTGTCGGGGTGTCTATTTATAGCCCCGAAAAGCTGTGATTCGGGGTGTCCATTAACCACCAGCCCTATGCCAGGCCCTGGTACTTTTCTATACCGTATAATACTCCTTTTCCGAGGTGCGAACGGTTCGACGGAGTCGTGTCCGTTCCCGACACCACCCACCCGTTCGACGTTGGCCACCACCCGACCAGCACCCGGAAAACGGGGTCGCCGTGGAGGGCGACTGTGGGCCACGGGCTGGGCCAGTCCTGTTGTGGTTTGGACTTCGTTTGGATCGACTGGAGTCTGATGAAAAGGAGTACGAGGAAGGTGAGGCGGTGAGGGCGAACAGATTTCAGCGTTCGCTCGATGGATCAGGCAACGAACAAAGGGCCGTGATGACCCACCCCTGCAACTGCTTGCTCACAGTTTCACAACACATATTGTTCCCCAGATAGCCATAGCAAATTACTTTACTTCGAGTGATCCCCACCATGACATGTCAATCATGTCTTGATGCCATAGTGAGGAGCATGTTGCCATGGTCGTGAGTATTGTAGTTCTCGATTTTGCTTGTTGGTCCTCGGGTTGTGCGCTAAGGTTGTGTGTTGTGGTTGTGGTTGTGCGCTGTGTTGTGGTTGTGGTTGTGTTTGTGATTGTGTGTTTGTGGCTGTGTGTTTGTGATTGTGTGTTTGTGGATGTGTTTGCGGTTTTGTTTGTGGCTGTGTGATTGTGCTTGTGGTACTGGTAGTGGTTGTGATTGTGTGTTTGTGGTTGTGTTTGTGGTTGTGGTTGTGTGTTTGTGGTTGTGTTTGTGACTGCGTGTTTGTGATTGCGTTTGTGGTTGTGTGTTTGTGGTTGTGTTTGGGGTTGCGTGTTTGTGGTTGTGTGTTTGTGGTTGTGTGTTTGTGGTTGTGTGTTTGTGGTTGTGTTTGTGACTGCGTGTTTGTGGTTGTGTGTTTGTGGTTGTGTTTGTGGTTGCGTGTTTGTGGTTGTGTGTTTGTGGTTCTGTTTGTGGTTGCGTGTTTGTGGTTGTGAGTTTGTGGTTCTGTTTGTGGTTGCGTGTTTGTGGTTGTGTGTTTGTGGTTTTGTTTGGGGTTGCGTGTTTGTGGTTGTGTGTTTGTGGTTGTGTGTTTGTGGTTGTTTGTTTGTGGTTGTGTGTTTGTGGTTGTGGTTGTGACTGCGTGTTTGTGGTTGTGTGTTTGTGGTTGCGTGTTTGTGGTTGTGTGTTTGTGGTTGTGTTTGTGACTGCGTGTTTGTGGTTGTGTTTGTGGTTGCGTGTTTGTGGTTGTGTGTTTGTGGTTGTGTTTGTGGTTGCGTGTTTCTGGTTGTGTGTTTGTGGTTGTGGTTGTAGTTGAGGTCCGGCAGGGAACACTGGGCGCGGATGGTCGTGGTTGAGCTGATCAAGGACTCAATGCTGCGTTCATGAGTGGCTACGTCAACTACGTGAACGACAACGACTTCTTGCTGGGGGTTGTTGCTGATGCGGTTTTTGTTCCAGCAGTCAGCGGGGCCATGTGCTTGGAATATCTTGAAATGTATACACTTCGTACATTTGGCTCGGCGCTTCTCTTGACACGTCATGGGCACTTGCTCGCGCACCTCATGAGAGGATACCAATCGGACAAGGACATGACCGTGCAGCTTTGGCATGTTTTGGATGCTACTCACGCCATCCTATGAGAGACCTGCTTCATTCCTTCAAACGTGATTGCCGTGTTTCAAGGATGGCGGATCATTGCCGTAGGTTGGGAAGTGGGAGGAGGACTCTATGCCTGCTCAAATGGCGGAGTGGTGGTAGTGCTCGACTACCCCCTCTGTCATTTCGAGCGCCGGTTCCTCGCCACATCTTCACCATGATGTGTTTGGTGCAGACGCCGATCGGCGGGAGATGAGGATTTTTGATTGCAGCTGACAGGATCGATGTTTTGCATGATGGATACCATGTGACATGTGACGATATACGAGTCAAGTGGTGATGAATCATGTCAGACTCAGTGCAAGCTGACCAAATACTCAGTATACAAGGTACTTTTTGTGATTCAATACGATGTTTTGTTTCAAAAACTATAAGTGATATCTTTGACTTGTAGTTACAGAGTATGGAGTAGATTTCGATGCCAGACCTTTGTCGATCTCATAAGAAGATTTCACGTTCCGGATGTCAGGCCGTTGGCTATTGCCGTTGTGCTTAGGTGAATTACTATGTTTCATCATTAATGTCCATGTTGGCTCTCCACTGGTTGCATTCTCCTGGTTTGTTTGTTTTCATCATTTTCACTGGTTCACGTTCACTTTGAAAGGGACATGTAGCCGACGCCGCAGGCGAGGAGGAGAGTGAGGAGAAGGAGGACACGAATGAGAAGGTTCGCTCGAATCCCATGGTGGCTGTTGGTCAACAAGAGGATTGGCAAAGGGCACATTTTGTGGGTGGAGTTTGGACACGATTGATGCATCATATGCATCCAGGTGTTCCTTCGCCTTCATGTAGCTGGTGTTTTTGTTTTATGGCAATGTATGGAACAATCATCCAAGATATTGTGTCTAATATACATTTGTGTATTCTCCGAAAAAACTCACATGGACCCTGTGTTCCTCTACCAACCGGCGGACCAGTCTCACTTCGGAGGATCGGACCGGGTCGCAGGTCGAAGACGACGTGTTCGCGATGGCGGGGATGGTCCGGGAGCCCAGAGTCGCCAAAACGGACGTCGCGACGTCGGTTTTTGGTTTTGACGTGTGGTAGGTGTTTGGAGATGACTTGGAATTGATGGCACTGGCGGTATTTAGCCGATAGAGTTTATAATGATTTTATGATCGTTTGGTTATATAGTTTCTCCCGATGCATTTTGAGGAAACCAATGCATGGGTCTATGAAATAATGATAATTTATAGGATGTCAAAAGCTAGGACAGGAGCAACATCGCTACGTTTGTTTGTTTGAGTTTATACTAGAATGTCAAGCAGAATCGTTCCGAGTACAACCATTGACCGCCACAGAAACCCTCCTCAGAAGGTCTTTGGACCCTCTAAACCCACCCCAAACACCTTCTCAGAAGGTATCTGGAGCCCTATACGGGTAACTAAAGAAGTGAAAGTCGTGTGGTTCCCCATGTCAAAGAAATCCGAAGGTGACTCCTTTTCAGTTTATTAGATGAATTGTGTACCAGAGTTTTCACTGATCGAACGACCATTCGATCTCCTGAGGCCCGAACTCACTTCTGGTTTCTACACCAATCTAGACCCAAACCCATCATATCAGACATCATATATATATATATATCATATATATATATATATACAACCCACCACATCAATTTCTATGACCGTGGGCGACTTTACCCTCATACAGCCTCCATAGAACCTTCCAACCCACGCTGCCGTCACCGCCCCTCCGGACAGCCAAGGCGACCGGCGGCGGTCTCCGGATCGTTCCGCGCGGCAACCTGGACGAGGCGCGGGGGCCGCGCGCGCGCAGACCGTGGTCGGACAAAGAGGGTGCGGAGCAGTAGTACAGTGAATTTCCTCCTGCAAGAGCAACAGGCTTGGAATTCGTTCTGAATGTTTGGAGAGTGTCATCCTGTGACCTTGCATGACCTTGCGAATTACAAAAACTGAGATGGACGGAAGTGTGTCTTGACTAAGGGTCTCCATCCTGTTGTTAGTTGTTCAAGACCCAGTTTTTTGAAACACCCATCGGAAATGAATTGGTTCTGACTTTGTCCCACTAAATCAATCAAGAAAGCACAAGAAGGCTTTAGGTAAAGATACGCTAAAATCCAGCTCACATCCACAGATCCACTCACAAACCGATATCTAGAATCTAGTACTTCCTCTCGAACAGAAAGATGTGCCTCAGAGGTTAAGGCGCCTTTGTCCGTGCTCAGGCGTTCCTGTGTAGACATTCTTCTCTCCTTTGGGGGGCACTGCCCAATAAGGATCCAGCCGTTGGTTTCAGGAACTCGCACAGTGATGAAGACGCCAGGCCGTTGTATTGTACCTATCCCAAACACTCCGGACTGGAATGTTTTCTTGACCCCTGAAACCACCCCCAATGTAGGTAAATATTCCATAGATTGTTGGAGAATTAGACTTTCAGCTGACTTTTTTCCACGACCACGTCGAAGCCATGTCCATTTGCCTTCATGTCTCTCTCCTGAGCGGCCGGGCAGTGGAGATATGGGTGAAGCCTGGCTCTTCCATCGTGGAGGTGAAACGTCGGGCGCAGCAGATGCTGGGCGTTTCTGGCCTATGCCGATTGCTGAAGCATGACGGAGTCCTGGAGTGAGTGGAGAATTGTGGTGTCTTGAGGTTTTGGTTGGGGAGCCTAAAAATTGGGATGATTGGATGATAAGACAAAGATCGGACAAGACGCTTCTGAATGAAGACTGTATCTTTCCCTAGGGATCCAAGTACCTCCTCAAAAAGGAACTTGGACCCTCCTGGCACCCACCCCACTCCCACCTTCTCAGAGGGTACTTGGATCCTTAGGGTTTATATAGTGTGTACGACATTGTACGACCATTTTGCTATGACGACCATGACGGAGCCAGCCACCCCGGAGCCAGATAAGCTCGGTCCGTCGGCCGGACGGTCCGAAACTCGGCTTCGATCGGAACGAGTTGGGTCGGCCTGAGGATCTAAGGCAGAGGGACTGGTTTGCGATGGCCTATCCCATGGCGATGCCTGGACCCTCCAACTGAGCTCCTTTCGCGTCCTCGCGAGCACCCGGGATTAATGTCAAGTTACGATTAATAAACCTCCCCTAGTTAATCCGAAGACACAAACCCACCAGAAATTGCCCAAACTAAAAGTATTATTCGTGCCTATTTCCCCCCTAATCTTCTAGTTGGGCATCAGAAACCCCCCCCAGTTCATCCGAGCCCACAACCAGGTCAATTTTTCGTATTACTACTACTATACTACAACAACAACAACAACTACTACTACTACTACCTAGTACTACCTACTACTACCTACTACTACCTACTACTACCTACTACTACCTACTACCACCTACTACCTACTACCTACTACCACCTACTACCTACTACCTACTACCACCTACTACCTACTACCTACTACCACCTACTACCTACTACCTACTACCTACCTACCTACCTACCTACTACCTACTACTACCTACTACCTACTACCTACTACTACCTACTACCTACTACCTACTACTACCTACTACCTACTACCTGCTACCTCCTACCTACTACCTACTACCTACTACCTGCTACCTACTACCTACTACCTACTACCTACTACCTACTACCGACGACGACTGCGACTACGATGGCTCCCTGAGCCGATAATTCAGGGGGGGTGGACCTCATGAGTGGTATCTCATACCTTCTTGACCTTGTTGACCTACCATGTGGGGGGAGGGGGGGGGGGTTTATTAATCAGAGGTTGACATTACCGCGGATTGGGTCGCGGATGGGGTCAAAACTGAAGCCTCAAATCCAGAAGCATTTTGGCTGTGTCCACCCCCAGGATGACATGACCCACAGTCATATCCACTGTGTTGTTGTTTAGCATGTTTTAATTACTGAAGAGTACACATGCCTCGAAGGGAAGTCGGCAGTCATGGGCTCAAACACCTACCCTACAGGGATGTGGACCTTCTCAGGTTCGATACGACTGGACCCACCCTACACAACAACGTCGAACACAATCAGCGTACCTCAGAAGGTACGACCAGATCCATAGGGTTAGTCATTGTTTCCCTACAAGTTAGGAACTGACCTCATGATAAATTCTGAAGTTGGTCATACAAGTTCACACTATTCAAGAAGCTCAAGGACTAGGATTTACCGGGTCAGACTGGACTTCTATAGGGTTTTCTTTGCGAAATTGATGGATGAACGTCGACTCCTCATGCGAGAACCATCAGGCACCGCCTATGCGTTTGCCGGCCTACGGGGCGATGGCAGCCTGCTGCTGTGGGGCGTTGAATGTCCAAGTGTTCTTGGATGTTCTTGGACAAATCGACGGAATCCACGTAACGACCACGACCACGTAACACGTAGGTCGACCATTCAAAGCCACTGCCGGAAACAAAGACGAAACCACACGAAAACGCCGAACACGTTTTCAACGGTCTCACGACGGTCTCACGACGAACACGGTCGACCAGGTCGACGTCCCTGGGGGCGAAGGGTGGGCCTTCAGGCTCCACGTGCTGCCATGCTCACGCCATGGCCTCCAAGCGCAACCATAGCGATGGCCTCCTTAATAGCGAATGACGCATTTTGAGTCATTTCTCCCGCGACTCGTTGAGCCCCCGAGGTTCTCCCAGGTGGTGAGGATGCTGAGGAGCTGAAGGATGTGCAAGACGTGACGGCCACGAGTGACGCATTTGCCGCAACTCATGATTTGGCACAGAAACCTTTTGGACGTGTGGACATGAACCCCGATCTCTCCCAACTCACCTACGTTTTAGCATAGCCCATCTCAGTTGTAGATTGTATACCTCCCAACTATTGCAAGTCAGGCTGTCATACAGGATGGTTCGGTTGTCACTTGGGGCAGAGCTGACTGCGGTGGGGATAGCTCTGCCGTCCAAGAGCAGCTGTGTGGCGTGAAGCAGATCACAGGAACCAGGTCGCTGGTGAAGTGTTTCCGAACGCTTTGGGGGCCCAGGTATCATCTCGGCTACCCCACGCATTGCCCGCAAGTTGTCGGAAGATGTTGGAAAATAAACCTGATTGACCCTGTTTTGGAGCCAAATAATGTTCCTTTCCTATCCAAACAGAGGTCAAATGGGTTCTGGTTCCAAAACAGGTGCCACTCAGGTTCTAAGGTATATGATGGTATATGTTTGTTTGGTAAGGAGGTCTTCATTTATGTGAGTCGACGCCTTTGACCTGCTTCTATATATTTTTGGTTTTCTGTTTTTAGGGCACCTGTTTCACAGGCGATGAAGGGAACGTCGGGATGTGGTCGCAGCGACCACTGGCAGCGACCTTCAGGGCGGCGTTTTGGTGAACATGATTAGTGTAATAATGGCCGAGTTGTTCATTGCACCGTTTGTGTTACAACTTGCAACAATGCCTAAAACCGGGGTTTGTCACTGTGGGGGGCTGGACACTGTTTGGGTCAATGCTGTATGCATGTGGGAGGCTTCAAGACCCCCAACGCCGGATCCCTCCCTGAGAGGGATCTGGCGGGTGTTCACCAGGCGATCATCGAGCGAAGGATGAGAAACCGAGAAACCCATTGTGTTTTGAAAACCGCCCTGGCAGGTGCAATACGCTTTGTTATTCGGGAGGGGTAATCTCGGACACTGGAGCATTTGCCGCCATCCTCAGTGATGGGTCTGTGGTCACTTGGGGTAGTGCAGAGTGCGGCGGTGACAGCAGCTCAGTCCAGCATCAGCTGAAGGACGTGCAAGACATTGCTGCCACATCCAGTGCTTTCGCTGCGCGCTTGAAGGACGGTTCTGTGGTGAGCTGGGGACAGGGAGGTGTTTGGCAGGAGCAAGATCCTCTTCGCCGTGTGAGGCACATAGAAGGCTCTGATGATGCGTTTGCAGCAATTCTGGATGATGACTCTGTAGTCACTTGGGGCAGTGGCCATGGAGCGCATAGCTGTCATGTTGAGAGCCAACTGCGAGGTGTGCAAGAAATCTCAGCGACCTGTGGAGCTTTTGCAGCCATCCGGCAAGACGGATTGGTTGTGACCTGGGGTGATGCAGAGTGTGGTGGTGACAGTCGAGCTGTTCAGGCACAGCTAATGTACAGGCTGTTGCAGCCACTAAGAGCAAAGGGAAACATTGTGAACACGCAGAAAAAGGCGCATTTGCCGCCATCCTCAGTGATGGGTCTGTGGTCACTTGGGGTAGTGCAAAGTGCGGCGGTGACAGCAGCTCAGTCCAGCATCAGCTGAAGGACGTGCAAGACATTGCTGCCACATCCAATGCTTTCGCAGCGCGCTTGAAGGACGGTTCTGTGGTGAGCTGGGGTGGCGACCGCTTCCCCTCGAGCCACGAGAAGGTCAAGGACCAGATGTGGGACATTCTCGAGGTTCATGGATGCGAATCCACCTTTACTGCCCTGCGCAGTGACGGTCATCTTATTTGTTGGGACACCTGGGAAGATGCCCATTACACGATCGACATCGATCGTGAATTATAATTCACCAAGTCCAGGCAGTCCAAACACGTGGCGGGTACGGGGGCACGGGCATTCTCGTGGCTGACGTGGCGTACCTGCAACCGGCTTCAACATCTGATGTGTTCCACTTTACCCCACACTGTCGGGGCTTAAAGTATTCTCTTTTGTTGAACAATGACGATATATGCTTCACCTTTGTACGATACAGTACTGGGTATGACGAAAGGTGCTTCATCTTGGCCTACATTCTCTTTTTGTGTCGGTGTTCCAAACCATCACCACTTTTGAACGCCGACTCCCTCGCAAGGTAGTTTGTGGCTTTAGCTTGGCACAACGAATCGTAGCCTTTGGGGGGCTAATGAAGTCATTAATTAATTTCAATATACTTTATATAGACCGGGGACCTTATTGTCAAATGTTTCTTGTCCAGATGCAACAAAAACTCTGGTCTTGCCTCCTATACGCCATTCGAATGCATTCGATTGTACCTGGGCCTTCTTGACCCTCGAGGCGTTCTTTGTAAAAACCGGCGGAGTTGTTTGCCTAATGAAGTTAGGCAGAATGTATTGCCTATTGAGGGTCGGTATGCAGAAGAATCTTGCAGCTCCAATATGATCATATTGGGACGCGCAACTTCACCATGCTTCGCAAAGTTGCACGAGCGACGAGCAAACACGAGGGCAACATGTATACTTTTCCACACCGGTGAGAAAAAGACATGTGTACATGTGGAGCATTTTGGGATGTGATTCAATGAAACACAGCATGTTCACCAGGCCGTCCAGGCCGGTCGATGTGGGAAAAAGAACCAACGAACGCGGTGCTCTTTGTGCTCTGGCAAACGATCGTGGTCGTGGTGGTTGTGCTGCATGTTGCAAAGAAGCACCCAACAACGAAGCTCTACACGTTGTCAGACCACAATATTTGCACTGTTTTTGAACCCGTGGCTTTCTTCCATGGCAATTCCCATCCCAGACACTCCACGCATGCCATCTTTGCCTACACGAGGGTGGTTGTTACCCCTCACATTTCAGGCATGTTTGATTCCTACTAGTAGTAGCTACTAGTAGCTCCTGGAATTACTACTACTAGTCGCCACTAGTAGCAAGGGCAGTACTAGTAGCAAGAAGCTGCGAACGTAGCAATTCCAGTCCCCACCGGGTCGTCGACTTTGGACTCGTTTCGGGCGCCGGCAGCGCGTGTAGCCGGTGCTCGGCAGGTGAGTTCGAGCGACGAAGTCCTCGAGGCACCAGGTGCAGCGGCAGGGGAAAAAGGGTGGCGTCGAGGTTCGGGCCGGGGCGTTGGTGTTTGAATGAACCATGGATTGAGATGAACCATGAGGCGTTGAGTTGAACATATAGTTGAACCATGTGGATGAAACCGTTGGACCGGCTCCCCCTGGGTCGGTCGGGGTGTGTATGGGGTGCCGCATTTTCCATGCCCAAAACGCTGTACTGCCACCAGGTGTCGAACAGCAGGGCTTCGAACAGGGCGAAGAACCGTGGTGTTGTTTGCGTTCTTCGCCTCGGTTTTCCGGGATTGGATGGATAGCACAGGAGTCGGTGATGCGTTTGTGCGCAACATTTGTACGACAGGAACTGGCTTCCACTGCATATTGCGCCTTTAGCAAATGTTCAGTCGATTGGCTACTAACGTGACTAACATGGAGCGAATCTGACGTGCTTAGGCCGTATGTACCGGGCAACACCAGATAGTTTGTTCATGTGTATTCACTCATGAAGGCGGGATGCCCAGTGCTGATCCTTGCTTTGCTTAAGGCAATGGTTAAATCCTCTTCTGGTGAATATGCTGTGTCCAGGTTCCTTAAGCAATTCCAAGTGTTGTTCAACATTTTTTTACAAGTAAGATATCCATTTCCATCCTTGGTTGATGGATGTTGTTTAGTGCCTTCACGCATTTTAGTTGTGTAGCTCACAATGCTTGGTGTTCTGTCTGTTTTTTGTCTCATTCACAAGCGCATTGGAGACGAGACGAGGGTTGTTTCACAACAAAGGGGGGCACACCTCGCGACCACTGCTCGGCCACCTCTCCAGCTCAGCCAGGAGATCCAACTGCCCAGAGCGCGCGAAAAGCGCGCGCTGCGCACGGGGGGCAGCACAAGAAGATCCAAAGCAAGGTGCCGGGTTGGGTGGGTGGGTGGGTGGGTGGGTGGAAGAGCATGAGTCGGGGGTTCATGAGGCCAGGGCTCCAAGCACATAGCACTTCCTCAAGGGGTGGCGGGGGTGGATGCCAGTCGGGGGAGGGGAAGAGGTGAACCCTTCGGCCCCGATGTCGCCGGCAGGTCAAACGCCCGCGCGGAAAGCGCGGTGGCGCCAAGAACAAGTGACCTTCGCTCCTCTTGGGAGAATCGCGAGGAAAACAGATGCAGCACTGAAGAAGAGTTTGTTTGAATGTTGACTCCCCAACAAACTTTTGTTTTTGTTTGTTTCCTTAGTACATTGTGATAAAATGCGAAGCTGATGAAACCCGAGGCCTGTGGCAATGTGCAGAGGAAATTGATTTAATGTGATCGTGGTGTAGGACCCGCATGTTTAAATTTCAATTGTCTTGGCGCCACTCGCATTGGTCTTCGAGTCAATATGTTCATGGGGTCAAGGGTCAAAGACAGTGATGTGCCTGTTTTTTTCACATGGTTGTTGTTTGAGCTACATTGTGTGGATGTTGTTTGGTTGTTGTTTGAGCTAGGCGACATGGCGCGCACTGAAACAAACGTCCCCTGTGCTCTGGGTCGGATGATGTTCGTGGTTCCTGCAAGGGGACGGTGATGGTCGTGGTTCTGCTTGGAAGCGCAGAGGTTGTGTGGTGGAAAAATATGTTTTTCCGCGTTGTTCGGTTTCATCCGATGTAACAGTGTTGTTTGTTTGCCCACAGAGTTCCTACAAGTGGATTGTTGCTTGGAGTGTTAGATATCCAAGCAACACTGCATTTTTCGATCTTGGAAAGTGGTGAATGCAATTGAACTGCAACGGTGGGAAGCAGTCACTGAACCCTCAGTACAAGAAGTGCACCAACATGATTGGCCTTTCAACCAATTCTTTTTTATGAAGAACATGTTTCATCCACGGCACATAAATCTGTGTTTACAATGAGGCAACATGTTCTACACATAGCTCCCTCAGCTACCTCAGCTCCCTACCCCGGTATACGGCTCTCCAAGAGCCCGGACACAACCTGGTAGGCCTACATAGATATAGATATTATATATACCTGGACCCTCTAAGGGGTGCCCAATGGAAGCCTATAGGTAGTGAGGAGTAGTCCATTGGACACCCCGACAGGAGGGTCCTGGTATATATATATATATATGCCATGCATTGACTCCGGGTCAACCAATCCTGGCCGGATCGTTTTTTGTTTTTATCCCAGATAGTGTTAGTGTTTTGTTGGTGTGGTTTTCCGTTGTTTTATATAGTGGAAAGCAGGTTGCTTCTCGTCATGCAACCGACGTCATTCGTTCAGTGGAGCAGATGATGGGAGCCCATCTGGGAGCTGCATAGACCCCAAAGAATCACTTCAAATCATTTAGATGATCCACCGATCCATCTTTGCTTAGCCCGCTTCCACCAATCGTCCCATTGGATTTATTCAATCGTCCTTGAAGATCAGGTCATTAGGTCAGAGGCGTGGTGTTGAGGTCAAAGGTCGAGGCCGTCACCACCGACAGCCCATCGTTGGCCCAAGCCCAACGGGCCCAACGCAACGAAGTGCCCGCGGGTGACGTTTCTCCCAGAGGAGGATCCAATTGGGAGGACGAAAACGCGACTATAGGACCTACAGGACAAAGGTGTTTCTTCTCAAAGGTATGTTTTTGACAACCCTTTGCCCTTAGAATCCTGCAACATGCTTATTAGGCACCTGAAGCGGTCAATTTTCCTTTCTCGGATGCTCTTTATAGAAAAACTAAATGCAGCAACGCGACATGGACTTCCTAATTCGACCGCGGCTGATCCACATTTAATGTTGCAAGAACTGCTAAGCAAGAAAACGCTGTCTTCCTCCTGAAGTATACTTGGCGGGCGGACCCTCATTCTGGGAACCAGACAGTCTCGTGCAGTTGTAGGAGGTGTGATTTGGGAGGTGTGATTTTTGGTCCAGCTGGGACTTGGATGTTTGCCGGAGCCTCCATGACATCACACCTGGGAGCATGTTGATGTGTGCAACATCGCATTCCTCCCTTTCTGACCTGTGAAAAAGGAAGGAATCCGCGTTAGTCACATGTGTTATTGACAACCAGGAGTCGTAGGAAAACTCCAGGCTGCAGGCTTTAGGAGTCGAGCTTCCATGTCCACGTGTTTTGGGATTTACCATTTTGGACAACCTCCAAAATGGTGTATTGCCTCAGCTTTGCACCATTCGAGAGTTCCAGACAGAATCAACCAACATTTGCAATGATCGGTTTGTATTGGTGGACTCTTCTGTAATTGTAGAATACATCCACGTATGTACCTTGTTACTGTACCAGCAGATATCTCTATAAACACAATGAAACTATAGCAATTGTGGTGGAAGCAAAAGCATTTGGTAGATCATGGCACATCATTGATATGGAAATTAAATGTATGTATATATAATAGTAGTTGTGAATCTCTAAGTCCCAGGGCCAAAAGAAATGAGTAGACACGAGTTAATTTTATCCCCTGGAATTACACGCTGGTTGATTTGCTGCGCAGGAAGCTCCGACGGAATGCGCAGCAGGATCTCGGAAAGGCTGGACGATCTCGGCAATGTAAAAGGTGATCTCCTGTCAGCGCCCCGACCCATTGTTGAGTCCCCAAGAAGTCCCTGTACTCTGGCACTATAGGACCACCATGGTCAGTACAAAGTCGTAATAATGAGATCCTTATGATCCATTGACGTCGACTGTGTACTCCGTTTCGAAGATGGTTGGGGTGGGTGGTTTGGGGGGTCTACCCACCTTCTAGGGATATGGTTGGAGCCCTACAGGGAAATGACCTACTATTTCCGCCGGGGACGCCACTAACGATCCGAGGACGCGCGGCAATGAAGGATCTGAAGGATCCATATGGCCTATATCCTGCCTTGGTCGTGAAGAAGTTCTCATCCCAAACCACCCAGACGCTCCAAACAGGCCTTGGTACCGATATGGACATGTATGGACCCTACTTAGGAAGAAGTTCTCATCCCAAACCATCCAGACGCTCCAAACAGGCCTTGGTACATCAAAATCATAGGGACGGTGTGGACATGTATGGACCCTGAGGGTCCATGAGCCATCCGGGCACCTTGACCGATTTGACATGTTCGATGAATGGAAGGAAATCGCTCACGTGCGTGGCGGACACACATGAAAGCACAGAAAGATGTCTTGCTCCCTTGAAACACATGGGGCTTATATCCCAAACGGTTGGCTGGAACAAGGATGCGATTTTTGCATGAGAAGAATCGATCTCAGGGAGTCTCCGTTCTTTTCATCCCAAAGACAGCCAGGTAAGCGACCTGAAGCTACCTTCCACCTCCATTGACTCTGGTTTTCCTCGTTTTCCTCACCTTTCTGGGACCCCACCATGCCGGCAGGTCGCCGTTGACCGGCGACGGCGAAGAGATCCAGGAGCTGCGCCTCGGACGGAACGAGAGATCCGGGACCGCGCGGCGCGGGAGAGGGCGTCGATCGAGCGGGGAGAGGGAGCACCCAGTTGTTGACTGAGTGGGAGGTTTGGCAGGGAGATGCATCTCTTTGTGTTCAGATGCACAAGGTGATGCACAAGTTCAATTGTTCAAGTACATACTTGTTTGACGAGTACACATTACAGCTAGCAAGTTCATGTACACCTGATCACATGGATGCAAGTTCATTTACGAGGTGCTGTTTTTTTGTTCTGGTTGGGTTGAGAATTCTGTTTAGGGGAGAGGGACAATGCCACAACGGATGTGTTTTCATCTACCTGCTTTGGTTGAAGGAATCCCATTTGGTTTGTAGATGTTCATACATAGGCTACAGTAAGCCCAGGGACTGCTCCCCGAGCGCTCGTCTCACCGGTGGCGTCAGACATGCGTGCCGACGTGCCGACCGTCAAGCTGAAGGAGCACTCCATGGGACTGGCATATAGAACACCTACAGACAGACCCCCAACATCAACATCTTTTTTGGGACGCTTTGGCCGTGCTGGCGGTCGTCCGTTCCGGTCCACGCGTGACCTGGAGAGCGGTTCACCCGTGGAAGCGTGGAGGACGAGGTCGAAATACAACAATGAGAAACGGTGGAGGACGAGGCGTTTTGCAAACGACGAGGCGTTTTGGGGCGCGTTGTATCTCATGCTGGATGAGTGGAGTGGGGCACAGCTGGATGCGTGGAGAGTGCCAGCAACAGCTGAGTCGAGTCGCGCAGCTGCTGAATTCTATCAATCGTGCTGAGTCGAGTCAACGCCGCTTTGTGTGAATGGACCTGCTGACGTCTCTCAAGCAGACGTTTCTCTTGAATGGCTGCTCTCGATTGGTTTTCTTTAAGATAGTTTTGGATGAGTTGATTTTGAGTTGCTGTTCTTTTGGTTGCAGGGTCTTGATCTAGCATCGTCAGAAAGGCCTTACTCATGCCATGCAGATGAGATGAGTTGCAGGCCAAGAGTTGTGGCAACATGTGGCAACGTCTACAGTTGATCAGACGGTATAGTGGCAAAACATGGTTGCATAGGAATCTACTGTTCGATCTATTTGGAAGTTTAGTGGAACATGTCAAGACATGACATGAAATGCCCCGAAAAGGACATCAACCTTCATGGCTCATGTTGCTTCTGGCTTCGCATCTGGCTTCTCCCCACAAGCAGGGCAGCGCTCCTGCTTGCAACGGGGTTCGAATTTGGGTACTTCGGAGGGTTTCAACATGTTTCAACCACCGCACTTTAGCAACCTAGATCAGCGAGTGCTCCAGTGAACCGCCGTTGGGACTGCGAAGACTGCGCGTGTGTGAAGTGAAGTCCTCTAAAGTGAACCACAGCATACACAACGTTCATTGAACCACACGTAATTTTGATTGGCGACGTGAGTTGTGGAAGACTTCACACGTGTACACCTCCTTTTTCCAGCACCTGTTTACATTCTCAAACTGTTAAACAGAGAGTGAAACGATCATCCAAGTAGCTACGCGACAGCGCCACTCGCCACACGCGGTGGTTTTTCGAGGTATGGCATTGAGGACACCGCCGTGCGCCATGGCTTTGTCCAAAAGGCGCAGACATTGCAGCAGACTTTTGTGCCGACTGGGTCAAAAGGATTCAATAGGTATATAGGTATACCGTTCAGCTGTTCTGAGGAATCTCCTTACTTGGTAAGGGACCAAACAGAATTTCAGGTTCGATGTTCAGTTTCACTGGAGCTCTGGTGTTTATTGACACAACTAACCATTATGTAATAATCTTGTGGATTGTTGTGGTTCTTTGCGTTCCATGGGTGTCGTGAGGAGCAGCTATATGTTTGGACTGTTTCATCGAACATGGGTTGAAGTCTGTTGGTCCGACATGTTTTTTGCACAGTCTTTCGAACACATGGGGCTTTTCTCGGATGCTACGATCTAGTGGAACAAGATGTGATATCAAACGCCGCTGAACAGAGGGTCCTTCAAAACCGATGGAGTCGGAGCACGATATGTTGGAGCAACTCATGTTGAAAGAACATGTTTTCTGATTGCACCATTTTTTTTTGCAAAGCAACCTAAAATAGTGAACCAATAACTGCAAATAGGGCAGAAGCCCGGCGGGGAGCCTGACCGACGATTTGTTTGGAGTCGTAGTTTGGCCCAAGACCTTGGAAGAATGGAAAAGCAGTCTGAACATGTCTGAAGAAAATCAGCAACAAGGACGCTACTAGTAACAAGGTGCATCGCTACTAGTAGCAAGAAGCTACTACTGTAGCCACTCCTGGCTTTACTACGAGGAACAAGAAGCTATTAGTAACAAGGACGCTACTAGGTTGGAGGCCATTACTACAGTAGTAGCTAGTACTAGTAACAAGAAGCTACTACATATTTAAGGGTGTCCTGCTGCCTGCTTTTTCAAGTACCGGAAAAAAACAGCGACCCCTTCCAATGTGGACAGCCCTTTGCATCGGACATTTGTGGATGTGGATGAAGACTGGATTTGTCTAAGGATGGTCCAAGGGCTCCAATGCATATATCGGGGCACGAAAACACACAACAATACAACAAGTAATTTGATGAATGGAATGTCGATGGTCCCTGAGAGAAATGCGTATAGGAAAAAAAGCATGGACAAATGTACAATTTGTAAAACACACTTGTAAACCAGTGTTAGGGGAACAGCAATGCATACATCGGGGAACAAAAACACACAAACATACAGCAACACCTTGTAAATCCTGAATGATCCTGAATTCAACTTCTCTTGATCGAAGTGGTTTTTTTCGGGTCCAGTTCCAGTGGGTCTTCCATTCCATTCCCGCCAGGTCTTTGGCATCTTGCTGGTTCAGCTTGCCACTCGGCGAGTCGCACGACGCGGAACACGGCGGAGTCGCACAACGGAGCGAATTCGTCGGTCCGGTCATTTGGTCGGAGACTGGACCAGGAGATGAGGTCGTTATGGCAGTCGGCAGTGGTCCAGTTTTTCATGGTCACCCAAGAGGTGGTGGTACATTCCGTGATTCTTCCAAGGATTGTATATAGACCGTATATATTGGTTTGTCCGTTCTTACATGTTACAATCAAACAAGAACATCACCTTTTTTGAACCAGGCCTGCAACCAGGCCCCATCATCATCCACCCATAGGCCCAACAGGAGCATCTATAGCAGCATCACCATGACAGCGGGCCGAACCCCCCGCAGGACCACCTGCGGCGTTTTGCGGTGTCGCCCTCCCAGGTGACCACCACCTTGGTCGGAGGCCTGGTCATGAAGCTGGCGCGGTGGCCCGGGGGCGCGGGGCACAGGGCGCAGGGCTGGGAGCTACCCAGACCCCGAAAACCATGGGATTGTTTGCGGTTTCTGCCGCGTCCGAGTGTTCATCTTGGTTCTTTGTGCAACCGGTCGCAGTCGGGGAAGCCAACGGGGAAGCAGTGCGGGTTCTTTGCTTGAGACGTTGGGACGCAACGAAGCTTGGGATGTTCAATGGACGGGAGCTGAAGAGTTCATGCAGGAACGAACGGGTCTCTGTTGTGCGATGATGTTCGGTGGAAGTCTTACAGGTCTGAGTCTCTATGATCATGGTTTTCTCAATCTTTTTGCTAGATAGCTGGTTTGAAAGCGCTGGGTACCCTATAGCTTACAGATCAGTTTTCCTGGCTTGAGACTTGTTCTACGATCTTTAGCTTCTTCCGATTTCAAAAAGGCAATGAGTCCAGCTGAAAGAAGACTCAACTGCTAACTGCTAACTGTGTTGTGACTCATCATGCACTGTATGGCGTCCCTTGACAAATAGGGTTCCTTTCTTCATGACACGCAGAGGACAACAGAGGAGGCAGTCCACCATCTCATCTCATGTGTGTTTCCATTGGGTTTGTCCAAGTCTGTCCTATTACCAGGGAGCAGTGGATGATGATGGTTAGTAAAGGATAGTAAAGGTCTTTCTAAAATAGATGATCTATTCCAGGACCATCCGACCATCTGGGTGTCCTGGCTGGACTACCCTGTGTCCTACCCTCCAGGACACCCAGATGGCCGGATGGTCCCGGTGCTTCGCCAGCCGACGCGCCAGGCCTTGCCCGTGGCGAAGTCCAATCCAGCTTTGGCCATGTGCGTTCGCCCAGCCTCGGTCAAAGCAGACCGGCCAGGGCCTGTGGAAGAAGCCCCTGTTGGTGGAAGTACACTCCCCTGGAACTCGCATGGAAACTGGAAAACCCTTTGTTTGTAGAGAAGAATGGTTTTCCGAAATCGGGGCCAGGCCATCCACGTAATCATATTAGTTTCGGGGAGTGTAAGGGTCATGTTCTGTAGCCATTTTAGGCTCAAGAACATGTTTGCTCAACATGGGCAGTCCCGATCCGGTGGAGACGGCAAGGGAGGCGGAGGAGCGCCTGCTGAAGGGGCAATCCCCCACCACCTGCGCCAGACCCTCCTTCATTGCCGGCAGCGGCTCCAGGAGCGGTGGGACCAGGTGAACCTCCAGGCATAACAGCAACAACACTTCCACCACTACCAGCAGGACCAGCAGCTGGCCCCGGGTCCCCTACAGTACCCACTCCTCAAGAAGCGAAGGGTTCTTTAGGACCCTTCCTTCCGAGAACTGATCATGGAGTGAACCCTGAAGTGCAAATATGCTTCCTGCCGTTCACAAAGATACGGCGAATTCTCAGGTGGCACTTTCACCTATTATTGTGCCTCACCATGTCTCACCTGTTATTCCAGCCCGGCGGCGGAACAGGTGCTCGACCGGATTGGATTGGAGCAGGTACTTGCGCGAACTATGTGATAGCCGTCGCTTTGCAGGCCAGAAATGCCTTCTTCGCAAGCCTATTGCACAACGTGAATTGTGCAAGGTCTGCCGACTTTCGTGCCATGCCAGGAAAAATTTGCTCTCACCTCAACGCCTATATAACGATGTGTTGGTGGATCCGGAAGCAGTTGGTCTTTTGAAGGATCAGTTGAATTCTTCTTTTGGATATGATTCTTCCAATGTAGCTGACAAGTTAGCTCAGACTGCACACGCCGACCCGCAGGTAAACTATGGCAAAGCCAAGCTGAGCAAGAAAACTTTGCAAAAAAAACTTCTATTGTCCAGTTTCTTCACGAGCGAGTTGTACTGGAAGGCAAGCGCTTATCTGTGATACCGCTGCTGGCTTTGTACATTGCAATGTGCTTGCTGTCCGTCGCCACCGATGATTTGCAAGTTCACCACCTTGAAGCTGCTTTTGCATCTGGACTTGGTCTTGAGGTTGCTTTGGCCACTGAAGATGATTAATTCGCATAACGATTTCGCCAAAGGTTTGCTGCACGAATCACATCATCTCGATTGAAGAATCTTTACGGTCTGTATTTGACGAATTTTCAATCCCTGCTCCAAGCACCATTTCACGCATCATCTTGCCCACAATGTGGAAGTGAATGGTCGCTTGGCAAGCTTTACCCTGGAAAGGAGGCATTGGTTGGCAAACATGAAAATCGAAGCCACAAAGCGCTTGGAGACAATTCCAATCGCGAAGTCAGACTTGCACGCGATGGCAGCCTACCAGGCCAGTCACATGGTGGACTGCTCCAATGGCATTCTCCACCACCTTCCGGATCAGCTGAAAGTTGGCTGCTTGGTTTGGTCGCCGCCGCCTGCCAAGGGGTGGCGGTGTGGCAAAGTTCCTGAAATTTTGTCTACTTCCTCGTGCAGGGTCCAAGTGTACAAGCCTTCAGGCAGCGCATGCTTAGGTTTGCGGATTCCATATCCAAGTCCGTGGTCACTTGGATGAATTCCATGTGCTTGGCGCCGCGTTGGGCAGAGCAGGGTTGCATGATTCGGATGCTTGTTTGCTAACTGTTCCTTGTACAGCGACAGCCTTGGAAGCCCGTGTGTGCAAAAAGAATGCAGCTCGAGAATTCAGCTGGTTTGTTCTTCTGTGGTTTTTGAATGATAATTGATTTGTTTTTGAATTTAAACAGAATTTGCTAAGTGCAAGATAACTTTTGCTAACCTTAGCTAACTTTTTCTAAGTGTTCGACAAGTCTCTACAAATTTCTCAAAAATGAATAAGCCTTTTTAAGTCAAAAGGGTCCTAATAGTATACACTCGGTGGTGCTATCGCACCAAACAATTGGCAGACTTGTGTTTTGAGAAGCGCAATAGTCTATACCAACGAGTTTTAAAATCTTTCCGTATCCAGACGGACTTTGCATCCCTTTCTCTCGACCTGTGAATTCGCAATTGCAAAAGCATATGGCCTTGGCAACCTTCGTTAATTCGCGTTGGGCTTAACCTGGGAATAATCCGGTGGAACTGTCGCGGGTTGATGTTGCATGTTTGGGTACATAGTGTCCTGTGAATTCTACCCTCCTGCACCCCCCATACGGGAAGGGCTGTGAGGACAGTGGAGCAGAGCGCAAGTTGTGTGTGTTTGGGGAGTGTAAGTGTTTTTTGCAAAATTGGTTTCCGATCGCAGACCATCCTTCTATGCATAGGCAACGGTGTTAGGATCATCAATGTAAAATTCCACTATTCCATACAAACGTGGTGTTGAATTGTTTTTAGCGGCGATAATTTTAGCCATGGACAATGCATTGTGATGGTTCTCATCAAGATAAGTCAGGGAACAATTCCCAATATTTGATATTCCCTTTACCTACCGTTCGACATGTTCACAATATACCATTGACAGTGCATTCTCAGGGTTTTCCCGAGAAATAGCTGGTGTGGCTGGTTTTTGTTGTTCTTCTTGCTTGGATTCCCTGCGTCACCGTGGATACACCCGCGGGTGCCGTGCCGCAGTCGCACCGAGGGCCCTGATGTTGGGTTCCCTGGTGCTCTCCATCGCCTCTCGGAGCACAGGAACAGGGGAACGGGTGGAGCCCAGGGAAGGGAACCTTCACGTGAGACACGGAACGCGCCGTGACATGGCCGGCCATCGGAAGGGATCTCAAACATGCTGAAAAACAAACTGCAACGCCAGGAGTGCCTGTCAATGCCTGTCATAAATAGAAACACTCGGTAGGAAAAATAAATGGCATGGAAATTGGTCCCCAACGACTTCGGATGACCATGAGAAATTCCAAAAACCAAACAGATGGTGGTGGTTTTCCACAATCCATGACTTTTTGCAAGGCGTGGATTCACTTCCCCATTTTGCTCTTTTGTTGGGCACGTGGCATGCCGCTCCTTAGAAACATGGTGTGGAAGGCGTGGGTGAGTGAGACGAGGACATCAGTGTTTGGATCCTTCAACTCTGAGAAGTCTGGGTGCTAGAAGTCAAGGCAGCCAAAAGGCCCTAGTTGGAAGATCCTGTTGTTTGGGATTCTGATTGATTTCTACAATTGCATTGAACTGATGATGGCAGCACACATACACATACACACACACACACGTAACGTATCACCCAAAGGAATGACCCTCCACTTCTCAAAGAAACTTGACTTGGTATGATGGAGTTGTTCCAACCGACACGCTTATCCGAGATGGACCGCATGCAGATTATGCGGTACATCCCCAGGGGGTGACTACTGCACGCCCCTCACTACTAAAGTCTTTCCTCCAACAACTTGAACTACCCTGTCCAGTGGATCCCAAATAATCACTAGTATAAGGAACCAGGGTTTCGTTCGGTCTACGATGTTTTTTTGTTTCCACTATATATATAGGTTATACCAACAACAACAACTACTACTACTGCTACTACTACTACTACTACCACTACTACTACTACAACAACAACTACTACTACTATTACTATTACTACTACTACTACTACTACTACTACTACTACTACCCTTTTTTGGTTTGCCTGGATGATCTGGGCGGACAGCTCGTCAAAGACCAGACCAACAGCCTCCTACCGACATAAGGACAGTATACAGGAAGTACACCGGCCCACCAAATTTATCAAAACACGTCCATTCCATTTTGAAGGTGAAGGGGGTTGTGGTTGTCGATGTTTTTGTGGGAGGCATTCCCTTGATTCGATTGTTGGTGCGTGAATTTGTCCATTGAAGCTTGTGGCGCTGGCTTGCATCCTCGTTTTCTTCTGGTGCATTTTGCGTTCATGCTAAGAAACTTGTAACTCGGTCCACTAGCACGGGCCTCCTCCGTTGTATTGAGAGTATCTTGCCACTAGAGGATACATCAAATGGCAAAGATAAACCTTACAAGCTTCCTCAACCACTCGTTCGTGAGGAATCCATTTTAAAAATACGACTTCGGGAGTGCAAGATTCGTTCGCGGTCCAGCGATCTTCAACCGCGATCTGCGTCTTCGTGCCAAGGCCTGCATGTGCATCTTCGCCTGCTGTGGGGGCTGCCAAGTGTCTTTTGTCGCTTGTGGCGTCGTCCGAAGGCCGAAGGCGCCGAGCCCATGCGGGCGGTCCAACCCGCGACCCGGACGAAGCGGAGCCTGGTGAAGCGAAGGAGTTGCCAAGAAGCTCCATGGAACATGTGCCAGATTGCTCTAAGAGCTCGGATCCGAGTGTGTCATATCATCCGTTAATTAAGGTCTTTTTCAGTGGTGTGAGAAAGGCGGAACGCCATCAAGAATCAAGAACAATAAAAGGACCGGATAGCCCCACATGAGTCCCCACATGTTAAGCTTGTAAGAACTGTCAACGAGAAGTACAGACTGATAAGAAAAGAGGCCGGAAAGATACTGGACGATAAAAGTGAATGAGATGAGTGGTGTGTGATGAGTGGCGTGTGATGAGTGGTGTAAGATGAGTGGTGTGTGATGAGATGTGTGTGATGAGTGGTGTGTGATGGGTGGTTTGTGAGAAGTGGTGTAAGATGAGTGGTGTGTGATGAGTGGTGTGAGATGAGTGGTGTGTGATGAGTGCTGTGAGTGGTGTGTGATGAGTGGTGTGAGATGTGTGGTGAACTGTTCGGATGCTTCTACTGATTTGCCGCAGCTGTACCATAATGGCAATCTTGTGCATGGCCCTACGGTGGATGTCAAGGAAGGTGATTTCTTGATGATGCAAACCCAATAGACTGAGAACGTCTATTTTCAAAAATAGACGTACACAATTAACTATTAACGTAGTTTCGTTAATTTTTTAACAGAAAATTAACGAGTTTTTGGATATTACGTTTTCCTGGGCCTTTGAAGACCGATCCGCTGGAAAGCGTGTCCGAGAGCCCAGCGCCCGGATCCATACTCTAGACTCCAGAACCCCAATTGACTGCATTGTTTCTTAGCTATTGTTTCTTAGCTGGTCAGAAGTGCGTTGAAAAGGCAACCATTGCACTTCACAAGATGGTGCCATCGTGTCAGTTGAGATGGGTGGTGTGGGATACGTGGTGATAGGTGGTGTGAGTTGAGTGGTGCAAAATGGGTGGTGTGAATTAGGTGGTGTGAGTTGAGTGGTGTAAGATGAGTGGTGTAAGATGGGTGGTGTGAGAGAGGTGGTGTAAGATGAGTGGTTTAAGATGAGAGGCGGCGGCGGAGGCGCGGCGAGCGCGGAGGCAGCGGCGGGTGCAGAGCGAAGAATAAGAACCCCACATAGTGATGTGGGGAACAATCGTTGTAGTTGTGTTTCTGATTCTGCAGGTTTGTTCCTTCAGGTGCCTTTTCAATTCAGGCAAGAGCAAATCAAATATAACATATGATAGTATATCATAGTATGTGTTCTTGAACAGCCGCAGAACTTGCCAAACAGATCAACATAGATGCCTCAAACAACACAATTGATGTTCTGATCTTGTATGGACCTCATGACCAAGTGTTTGCTGTTTCTTTCGTGCGACGAAAGAGTAGGTTGACCATAAGGAGTAGGTTGACTCCCTCACAGTGAGGCCAAGAGGTGCAGAACCCTTTCTCTCCGACACAGGTGGTTAAGTAGACGTCATGGTCCCTGGAAAGACCATGAGTGATTCGAATATCAAGATCGAGGGGGTGCACTCCACGAACCCCATGGGCCCCTGGGCAGCTGCAGAAAAATCATAGAAGAGCAGATCTGCAAGACTGGAAGATGTTGAACTGGAACCGTGGACCCACCAATCATGCAACTCCAAGTCCAAGAACTGAATGCATTTGTGTGTGTCTTAAAATCTGAAGACACCTCAGACGGACCTCAGTGAGGAGTAGAAATGCACGACCGAACCCATTTACATTGAGATTATTTGATATGTTTTTGGGCCTTGCTTGGTTGGAGGTCCTTTTTCTACCTCCAATACCAAGTTCCTGTTTTTTTCCTCGCTGGGTCCGAAAAGCTCAGAATCGCCCTGAGGTCCACAGACCATGCGCCAGACCCCTACGAACTATTTGCTTTTGGCTCTCTTCACCTTGGCAGAGTCCGTCCTGGTGCCACCTGCCGCGGGCGGTTTCGCCAAGGGGTAGTTTCGAGTGGCCCAGCAAGCTCCGAGGAAGGGCATTCTGCTGCGGATCTTGTTGCTTTAGCATTTACAGAAGTGGGTTTCTTAAGCAGGACATCGTAGAACCTAGACTTGCAGGTAGCTGGTTCTGTACTGTGCTGTTTTGCAGTGTGTGATCCGCACACCTTTTCCAGCAAAGCAATGCCACGCTCTGCACGAGGCGTGTTTGACAAGCTCTGGGTAACAGTATATGAGGGTGATGTTTCTGGATGCACAAGCCCCCACAAGCAACCACACGTTAAGAAGGCAGTAAAAAGCCTAAAAGACTCCAACGTCGCAGCTTGAGACATTGAGCATAGTTGATCACATCGACAGTTGGTTGAATGGATCCTCTCAAGCGTGCCTGACCTGGCATAAAGCATACAAGAGAATGAACCAAGAACACCATCGATCAAAGAACACCTGATTAGAAATGAGATGAACATTTTTGAACCAAGCAGATAATTGATCGAAGAACCCCTCAATTGAAATCAGTACTAGACACTCTTATTACGCTTCATATCCCCACCATCAGGGCAGGTATCTCGGTCCTGTGCCAGGTCGGCTTCATCAGTGCCCACTACACGCAAGAGCCGCACGTCTTGATTTTTCGGAAGTGGTTTCATCGCTTCGATGGCACGGCACAGCGCACGGCGTTTTAGGCGGCTGTCTAGGCGGCGGCTCGACGGGCGGCTGTCACTGGGCGTTCGCTGGGTTGTTCTTTTCGTGGTGCACAGCCTATGAATAAACCTGCCGAAGAAACCCTATCAATTCAAAGCCTATGAAGAGTACAGCTGATAATTCCGGGATTCCCCAAGTTCTTCTTCGACCTCTTAGGGGTGCCTGTGTTCTGTTTCTTCTACTCAATCCATGGTACGAGGAAACGAGGAAACGAGGCCTGGTTGATTCCCGGTTCTGAGAGTGACCTGTACCTCAGGTATTGTTGAGGATCCGGGATCCCAAAGCGCGTTTGACCAAGGGGTGTGGAACACAGCTGGCAAAGCCTTCCAAAAAGACACGGATTGATGTGGAAGGTGTACATGTGCTCTGTTTTTGGTGTTCGCCGGAACGTGCGAGACAAGCCTTCCAAATGGGATTGAGCCAGAAGTGTCACGACACGCATCATTTGTCAAGAGCCTAGCCTTCTAAGAATGTTTAAAAACAATGAAGCACAAAGTTGACCCGTTCTTGTAGTCCAAAAATCCGTAGTAAAACAATGATAAACCAATGATTGTTTGGTAGAACATGGTCAAACCCATTAAATCAAAGGTGGGCCCGGAATCCTTTAGCAAGGACGCCCCTTTTTCCGATGCTCAGGTCCGTCCTGCTGGTTCTGGCCACCACTTGCATCGTGGCCGGTGCACCTGAGGGGTGCTGTCGAGCCTGGCTTTCACGCCACCAGTGCCTGGGTGGGGTTCCAGTGTGCGTTCCTGATTGTAGACTCTTGTTGAATAAAATTCCCCTGGCATGGATTGTAAAGCCATGCAAGTAAATCCTCTTTATATGGGGTGTTGATTCATTGAGAGTCTACAATATGTGAGCAACCGCCAAAACCTGCAATGACTATGTAATTTAGTAAAGAGGGGTCGTGAATTTCAGGAATGTGGCTAAAACCTACAAAAGCGATAGGCCCCCCTCAAACTTTGCTGTGTCGTGTCCTCTACTTCACAGTACGTTTTGGCAGACGCTCACGTCGATGACCCCTCATCAGTATGTGCCAGTTTGGCATAGTTTTGGGAGGCTTAGAGAGCCATCCAATTAATTAACCACAATGACTAGGAGTGGCGCGTGACATGGTGTGGTGCGCAAAACACCAGGTGGTGTGGTTCTGCAAAGTGGGGCGGGTATCCATGTAGCCACAGAACAAGTCCTGTGTTTCAAGGGATGGATTACAGTTTTACCACGTGTTCTCAGCAACTCGTCGACGGGTCTGATAGACCCAGTACTATAGTGGTTTTTGAGCTTCGATGACAGGCATCACCCCAAGATGTCGAACAAACAGATGGTGGCGCGGCTCGTCCACTACTAATCCCAACTTAGGGAGATGGTGCCATGGAAGCTTCACTTCTTATCTTAGTGATCTTTCTAAGAAGTGAAGCTTGCTTGGTGAAGATCAGACTAAGTCTAGTCACTCTGAGTGACTTTTAGTCTGGTGCCAAGCAAGCTTCGCTTCGCTTTCTAAGAAGTCATTGGATGGGAGGGTAGTACCTCCCTCCCGGTGCTTGGACGTGATCAGCTCCATGCGAAAAAGCGATCACGTTCGTAGCGCTGACTCGTAATGGGAGCCGTAAAAAAGATCAGACCCACACACATCCACACACCTCTTGACTGATGCATATATGCCTGCATTCACCCCTGAAACGTTTTCAATTGATGTTAAACCGACTCCACAGACCACGCCCACCCATCGGCCAGGCCCCACATGGGCTCGATGGAATCGGTTCGGATGGGCATCGGTCCAACTCCCAAGGTGGTGAGCTTGATCCTGTTCGCCTGCCAAACCAAGTATGACATCACGGGCTACCTGTGGCGGGCTCAGTCCTCTCGAGATGAGGATCTGTGGAAGATGAGGATCTGTGCTGTGTCATGGTGTTCGTCAGGTTGTGTCTTTTTGAGGGTTGCTTGACATAAGAATTTCCCGTATACTACTTTGGACACGTAACTTGTGTCAGCTTGATGTACTGTCACATGAACTTGCAACTCCGCTCCCGAAATCGTCCTCCTCGCACACCACTTTTCACCAGTAACAGGCCGTGGGAAAAAGAGTACTACAGTACTGTGTTGGGGAAAGGTTTGCAACCCAACCATCATGATGGCCTTGGTCCTTGGTCATGGGATATACCGGATATATATACCCAAATGTTGACTGAAAGGAAACATCCTGACAGTAGGTGGATCTGTTAATTCCTGCATATCGCATACATGTGTTTGAATGATTTTCGTCCGACCGACATATCTCGGATCAATACAGGGCCCTTGACGCCACCCCGTGCTACGACATATGGAAAACAGGTGATTCGATTTCGTGTGAACTTGGCCGAGACTTCGTGGGCTTGTGGACAACCAAGTTGATATTGGTAGCGGAGCTGGCGACGCTCCTCCCAAAGTATACGGACGGTGATCTTTGTATTTGAAGAGTTCCTGAAGATCTTGTGAAAGGGTTTTGAGGTGCTCATCTCACTGTTCGTGTTCGGCGAGGCAAGACTATGTCTCAAGCTTTCGGAGGGGCCGAGCGCAGTTCGCCTAGGAGATACGCAGGGACCAGACGCGCCCGAACACCTCGTGATCAAGATTTCCCAGAAGAACCACGAGAACGAGCAAATGGTGGAAGACCCGACACTGGTGGAGGCTTCAGAGGACTGGACTCAGGACTGTCTAAAGCTTGCCCTTCGACAGATGGTTTGAACCAGAAGAACTACAGAAGTTTTCGACGACGTGTTGAGTTGTTCGAAAGACAGTGCCATCGTCGCAGTGTTGATACGGCAGTTGAGGGTGCATTGTTACTCATTTCAAGGTTGCAAGATTTGGCTTGGGACTCAACAGAACAGATTTCTTTCGAAGCATTGGAACGCAGTCCAACGCCATTCACATTTGTGTATGAGATTTTGGACAATTTGTATCAGTACGAACAACAAGTTGAAGTGCCATCCCGTTGTGAAGAGTTCTTTGCAGAGTTCCAAAGGATGAAGAATGAAGACATGACTTCATACCTGGTCAGGCATCGAACATTGGTGAAGCGCATGAGGGATGTTGGTGTTGAAGTACCAGCCCTTCTCAGCGGCTGGCATTTGTTGACACGTGCTGGAGTTCCAAAGTGGACACACGTTCAAGTCAAAGCATTGTGTGGTGGAGACTTGGACTATGAGAAGGTTCACAAAGCTTTGATGAAGATGTTTGGCGGTGACCACAAGCCGAATCCAAAGGACCTTCAGAGGACAACAACGACAACAGAGGTATACTTTGAAGATGATTATGAAGTTGTCGATGATGAAGGTTACTATGGTGAAGAAGACACAGGCGACTGGTGGGAAGAAGAAGTGAATTATGAAGAGTGGCATGAAGAAGAAGAATGGACAGAAGATCTTGAAGAAGCAGCGGATGCCACAGAAGAAGCTTACATTTCCTACCTGGACAGTCGTCGAAGGATGAGAGAATTAGCTCTTTCCCGAGGATTTTACCCAGTTGTGGCCATTGGTCCGGAAGCAGATGGTCGCAGTCAGAGCAAAGGAAAAGGGAATGGAAAAGGAAGCTCAAAAGGAAAAGGAAAGGGCAAAAGTTCCAAGGGAAAAGGAAAAGGAAAAGGAGGTGGTTTCCGGCGCACCTTCGACAACAGACGACCCATGTCAGGTTTGAGGAGACCTACATCAAGCACAAGTGCAAACAGCAGTGACGTGAAGTCAACCCTGACAGGTTCAACCAGCAGTCATGGCCCCAGATTCAAAAGGTTTCGTGTGCAGTCAAGTGGTGTGAAGGAGGTTCCAGAAGAACAAGTTTCGATGGTGGAGGAGACAGCCACCGTTGATGAGTGCTACTTTTCCTCCTTGTTGCCTGGTAGAGCGATCGTTGATTCAGGTGCAACCAGGACAATTGTTGGAGAAAAGGTTTGGCAAGGATGGTTGGAACATGCACAAGATTTGCCAGTACAGGTCACGCAGGTTTCAAGAGACTTCAAGTTCGGAGGAGGTGAAACGCTTCGTTCAAGCTATGACATCACCTTCCCGGTACAGGTACGTGGACAAGACCTGAGCGTGACTGCATCGGTGGTTCCAGGAAAGACTCCTTTCCTTCTGGCAAGACCAACGCTGGAAGAGTGGAAGGTGCAGCAAGACTATGCAAAAGGCAGTCTGAAGATCAAAGATTCAGATTGGTTCCAACCGGAAAGAGGTCAAAAGGGACACTACATCGTGAACCTCCTGCAGCTTTCCGCAGAAGCATTGGGAGTTGAAGAAGTGCTGGCCATTCCAGAAGATGTTGTCGTGCAGTGGCCCGTACAAGATGATACATGGTACATTGAACCCTCCACAGAAGCAGAAGCAACCGGAGAGCTGCCCCTCGTGGAGTTCGAGATTGAGGATGACACCATGATCGAAGAAGCCATGAAAGCAGTGGAGACCGACAGGTGCATGACTTTCTTTGAAGTCTACGTGGATGAAGGCCAGTTGTCGCAGAAGCTTCTGAACAAGTATGCAGATGTGAGCGTGGCCAATTTTTCTTTGCCGGAATGGGACTTCAAGAAGAGTCATGTGAGGAAGGAGTTTTTGAAGTTGATGAGAAAAGAACGGCCTTTGCATGTGTGGTTAGCTCCACCTTGCACTAAGTGGTCCGTCGTGCAGAACCTGAATGCATTGACGGAAAAAGGAAAAAAGAAGCTGATGAGAGATAGAAGTGAGGAGGAAGAGTCTCATCTCATCTTCGTGGCTCAGGTCTTTGAGGTCGGAGAAGAAATTGATGCTGGAGTAAGCTGTGAACATCCTCGTGGAGCCAAGTCTTGGGAGACCGAGACCATGCAAAAGCTGAAGGAAAGATCGGTGATGGATGCCGAGTGTGATCGATGTCGAACAGGTCTAGTCTGCCGAGACAGTGGAGGAAATGTGTTGGGAAAAGTAAAAAAGCCAACACGCATCAGAACAAGCAGTCCCTTCGTGTATGAAGCTCTTCATTTGCAATGCCAATGTCACAATGGTGAGCATGTGAGAATGGAGGGGCGATCCACGGCTTTGAGAAGAATGCAAAACTACGAAAGTGGCTTCACAGAAAGGGCAGCAGACGCCATTCATCAAGACATGTTGAAGAGATGGCAGGCTCAAGAGACCTTGAAGATCTTCATGGCCGACGAGCTCGATGAGATGGAGATTGAAGAAGAGCAGAAGAAAGAAAGGGAAGGCAACGAAGAAAACAAGGAGATGATGAAAACGCATGGGAAAAAGGCACTCCAGATCGTGAACAAATTGCACAAGCAGTTGGGTCATCCCGGAAATGACAAATTGGTGAAAGCATTGCGGGATGCCAAATTCCCAGAAGAAGTTGTGGGATGTGCTAGAAAGTACAAGTGTGACATCTGTCAAGGAGAAGCATTGAAGAAAAGCGCTAATCCAGGTACTTTGACAGAAGCCACCTACTTCAATGAGATCATCGAGATGGACACTTTCCACATGAAGTGGAATGATGAAAAAGTTCGCATCCTGGCAGTCATTGATTTGTTCACGAAGTATGAGGTGAACGCATTGTTGCCGAGAGAAACAGAAGAAGCAGAACTGCAAGTGCTGGAGGAGTTATGGTTCCATCCTTTCGGCTTTCCAAGTCGATTGAAGACAGATGCTTCGGGAGCACACATGAGCCAGAAGTTTCTGGACGCTATGGACCAATACAAGATCAAGCTGGTGTTGATTCCAAAAGAGGCCCATTTCAAAATGGGTACTGTGGAAAGATTGCATGCAGTGAGGCGTCTACAGTTGCTAAAGATGAAGAAAGAGATGCCCAATGTCGATCTGCAGCAAGCAATTCGCACAGCATGCACACAGCGCAATCGGCTACGCAACATTCATGGATCCTCACCAGCCGAATTGGTTTTTGGCAGAGCTCCCAATGCATTGGCAGGTCTCATTGATGAACCTCAAGATCTACGACCAGATTTGCCGGCAGCAGCTCAAGATTTAGTAGTTCTCCGGACTCTTGCAGCCAAGACATTTCATGAAGCCAACAATGATGCCCTTCTGAGACGTTCTCTTTTGGCAAGACCAAGGTCCGACCATGAACCTTTGCCACTTGGTTCTTGGGCATATTACTGGCGGCAGGGAGATTCCAAGCTCGAAAGCTCTCGATGGCGGGGACCTTCTTTGGTTTGCATGGTTGAGCCAAAACCCATGAGCGATTCAGAGAAGTTTCGACCTCATGTTTACTGGTTAGCTCATGGTGCCTCTCTCGTTCGTGTCGCTCCTGAACACATTCGTCCAGAGTTGCCACGAGAACGATTGGCACGGTTAGAGAACATGCCAGATACAGCTCAATCCGCACCGGTTCAAACCCAAATCCTTGACACCTTACGTCCATGTTCGCGGTCCCGTTCGGTTTTTGGATTTGTCTTCTCAGCAATCTCCTTCCCTTGGGGGTACCTCTTTTGCGAATGCAGCGAGTCAGGGTGCATCCGTCGTTTCGGCCTCGGATAACACTGCAACCGATGCCCCGGCATCGGAGAACACTGCAACCGATGCCGGACCAGATGCACCAGCTACATTGGCAAGTGTTGCTGAGAAGAGTGCAGGTGAAACCGGAGTTGATGCAGAGATGCGAGAGCCAGAGATTCCAAAAGAAGAAGATGCCAGACCACAGAGAGAAAGATCAAGAAGTCCACCCGCCAGAGATGAGAAAGCCAAAGCCTTTCAGTCCTACAATTTGTCCCGACAGTTGGATGGAATGCCTCGAGTTGAACCCGGTGATGCAGCCTTTGAGAAACACTGGGAACAGATGGTTCAGCCCATGGAGGAGGACGAAGATTTGATGGCTGAGTCATTCCATGAATCCAAGCTCACGGACAAAGAGCGACATGAGTTCAGCGAGGCGAAGGACAAGGCACTACGTGTTTGGCTGGACAACAAGGCTTGGAAGGCTGTTCCTGAGACGGAGGCCAAGGACGGCGAGGTCATTCCAGCAAGATTTCTGCAGAGATGGAAACCTACGAAAGAAGGAAAAGTGGCGAATGCCAGAGTCATCATCCAAGGATTCCGTCATAAAGATGTTCTCAATGAAGAGCTGGATCGTGAGTCGCCGACTTTGAGCAGAACAGGTCGCATGTTGATCCTGCAGTGGGCTTGTCAGTTGGGATGGAAAGTCTTTGCAGCAGATGTGAAAAGTGCTTTCATGCAGTCCAAGTCCATCGATGAGGAGACCCGCATCTATATCAGACCCACTGCTGAGATGAGGAGACGATTGGAGAGACTCATGGATCTCAAGCCATGGGAGCTTCTCAAAGCCACCAAACCGGCCTTCGGTGATGTGAGAGCACCAAGACAGTGGTATGAGTCAGCAAAAGATTTCCTGATCAATGAGGCCCAGTTCCTTCAGCATCCTTTGGACAACTGTGTTTTCCTGAGCGTGAGGCTTGCATGCAGAGGAGATCATGATTTCCAAGTGTTTGAACACCAAGGCAAGCAATACATTGTTGATGGGATTCTTGGTTTGCATGTTGATGATTTCCTTGGTTGTGGCGAAGGAGTGCATGCAGTTGAGGATGTAACCGGAATCCGTGAGGAGACAGAAGCGCAGAGGACAACACATTGTTTCAAGAGCAGGTTGCAGAGTTTGGCACAAAAGTTCAGGTTCGGCAGTTGGGACTTCGGTCGCAATTCCAAGATCCTGTTTTGTGGGACATCATTGGAGCAAAGCATTGGGTATGACAGCTTGACATTGAGCCTGAAAGAATATGTGCAAAAGATCAAGCCGATTACCTTGGACAAGCAGAGGAAGACCATGAGCGACGCACCATTGGAGCCCAAAGAAACGAAGATGTTGAGAGCACTCATTGGCGCGTTGGCCTGGCCGGCAGGACAATGCCTACCTCAGTTGTCCGCTTCAATTTCATTGTTGCAAGCATCGTCGAGCAATCCAACAGTTGGTGACATTGTGCAAGCAAACAAGTTGTTGAGATTTGCAAAAGACGTTGTTCAAGGCTACAGCATGACCTTGAGGCGACATGGACAAAGCTTGTCGGAGATGCGCTTTGGTGTGTACATGGACGCATCATGGGGAATCAGGCCTGACGGCTCTTCCCAAGGCGGGCACACGATCTTCATTGGCACAGAGGATGAGATGAATGCAGGGAAGCCTTTTCCTTTGACCATCATCAGCTGGCATTCTCGAAAGTTGAACCGCATGTGCAGGTCTTCATTGTCGGCAGAAGCACAGTCAGCAGCGAGCGCAATTGATGAAGTTGAATGGACCAAGATTTTCGCTGCTGGGATGGTCAGTCCCTACATCTCCATTGCCGATGAGGGCGTGCTCCAGATGTTCGGCCCGACTCCTGCTTTGACAGATGCAAAGTCTCTTTTCGATTCTGCAAGGTCAGTGTCTGCAGGTCTGAGGCTTACAGAGAAGAGAACAGCAATAGAAGTCGCAATTGTGAAGGAAAGGTTAGCTGCGATGCTTGGAGAAATGAAGTGGGTGAACTCGGCACAACAAGTTGCAGATGGGCTCACGAAACCAGGAGCCAAAGACAGTTTCTCGCATGTTCTCAGGCGAGGAGTTCACTCATTGAGGTTTGATCCAAACTTCACGGCGGCCAAGAAGGTAACAAGAGAAGAGAAAGAAGGTGAAGAGAAAGAACACGATGAAGCCGCCAAGATGCTTTTCCACGGTGAATTGTTGATGACCGAGGAGATTGCGGCTGGAGTATGCCAGAAACCTGGGTGTGGGAAGTCGCTTGATGCTTCACAGCAGCACCACCGGTATTGCAGTCGAAGGCATTTTTACAAGCACTTCAACCAGCGCAAACTTGGTGAAGACATGTGGAAGAAAGCAGCGCAGATGGCAATCCTTACATTGGCAACACAAGGTGCAGAGGAAGCAGGTGTTGAAGCAGCTGATACAAATCAGACAGCATCGGGAAACACTGCAACCGATGACTTCCGAGTTGTGTTGACATTGTTGGTGATTTTCCTGTTTTCATTCATTGGCATGCAGAACGTTGCCTACAAAGCATACAGGTGGTTCTTGAGCATTGTGCAAGTGTTTTTTTCCCCAGCCAGTGATGGTGAATGAGAACATGATTGAAGAAAATGAGGTGAATGACGACGATGAAGTTCCAGAGATTGACTCGGATCCTAGCCATGGCACCATTGCAGAGATGGAAGCCGCACAGAACAACCAGGTGAATGATGATGATGCCGGAAGCTCTTCCGTGAACGATGATCCAGAAGTGTCACCAGAAGAGTGGGATCGCTGGTATCAAATCAAAGAAAGTGTTGAGAACGAAAGAGGACAAAGGAAGTGGAAGAAAATTCTGAATGAAGTGGTCCTCAACTACCAGCACCCCATGATCGACAGCGCGTTGAGAGGAGTAATGATTGAAGAGAATTGGACAGACAACCGCTGCAAGTCTTACAAAAAATTGTTGGACATTGAGGACACCTCAGATTGCACTTCGGACCAGATTCGCCTCTGGAATCGTCATTGCAATGAAAGGATGCTCTTCATGATTGAGGTGAGTGCAAAGGTAAAGAAGCAGAAAGAACAGATTGAGTTGTTGGAACGCACCCTGGCCAGGAAAGAAAGGCTTGAGCAGTTGGAAGGCATGGAGCGCTTTCGACAAAGAGTGAGTGATTGGGAAGTCAAAGACAAGGTGTGCCAGACACCGTTCACTTTCAGTTCGGCGCGCAATAGGTTGGTTGCTCTCCCTGACCATGCTCACGGCTCATATGAGTTTCAGAGCGATTTTTACAACAGGTGAAAAGAGCAAGGGCGTCAAGGCCAAATTTTGTATTTTCTCCGAAAGGGATTTTACATGGTTGAGATGGGCTCGAACGAAAGAGCTTTCCTCCTGTGTTAATTCCTGCATATCGCATACATGTGTTTGAATGATTTTCGTCCGACCGACATATCTCGGATCAATACAGGGCCCTTGACGCCACCCCGTGCTACGACATATGGAAAACAGGTGATTCGATTTCGTGTGAACTTGGCCGAGACTTACGTGGGCTTGTGGACAACCAAGTTGATAGGATCAGCATTCTGCAGAAAAGAGACATTCTGAAGAATCTTTGAATCCCACGGTGGATCCAGATCCAGGTGGTTTGATCGGGATCCCTTTTTCATCAGTCGAAGGATGGATTGACTGGCGAAACAGCCCGTGGAGCCCGGAATGAATTGGGATATAGTGAGCTCACTAAACTTATAAAGACAAGATTCAGGTGCTAATATCATGTAATATCAACCTTGGATCCAATTATGGCAATTAATCAAGCCCAGCTCAAGCTCCCAATACTAAACTAATTTATAACCTGAATTCCACATGTCCATCACCCTGTAAAAACAAATCCTTGGTATTTACCAAGCACATTTGCGCCCAGATAAGGCTGCAAATGGTTCGGATTCGTGAGTAGATTGTTTAAGGCTGCAATCTAAGCTGTGAAATGTTCTACCAAGCAATGTTTGTTCACAATCCCTAAACGCTCTCCAGCAAAATTGTATATGTCATATTATGTCATGTTCCCTTATTACAACTCTATCAACATCTTAAGGTTCAAGCTCACAAAGGGTACCCCTCACACAGGCCTCATGGTTCACATAGAATCCTGTCAGCCATCATCCACCATCAGATCATCACCTTTATTAAGGGAATGTGGTCAATACCTCCAATCTCAAAGCTTTGATGACCAAGCGAACAGGAGTTATTAATCCGACCTTGGCAATACTGAACAAACTACCAGCAATCCTGGAGTCTCCAACAACTCGTTTAACCGCGAAAGGATCCACATCCTCCACAAAAAAATGACGGCTCGCAAATGGTGGACTTGGTCCACAAGGGTATGACATACAATTATTGAGTGCTTTGGTTTGTTATTACATTCTGTGTTCTCCAATTCGTGTGGTTATCTTTGGTTACATCATTCTCAAACCAACACGTGTTGTCCTTTTTACCGCCGAGTCCCTACGTCCTGGTGGCTTGCATGGGGCTGTTCGGTCCCACCCTGAGAAGTCTCGAAGAGCGGTGTGGCATTGCCAACCGGTGTGTGTGAGGGATCAGTGGGTTCTGAAGGGAGATGGCTTGGAGAGGGGAGGTGTATGATGCCATGGAAAAGAGCGGTGTGATGATCAAGACAAATAAGGAGGTGTATGGAGGAGTAGTGGGAGGTGTATGATTATATAATTAGATATTTGTTCTAGGTAATTTTGCTGGGAGATGTAGATTGAATGGATGCATGTTTTTTTTGATTTACTTGGATTGGAGGATATTGGAGGTATATGAACAACTGGTTTCAGAGTGAGTAGATGGCACCAGTTCCCCAAGTTGGGTGGTTTATATGGACGAGCCCCCATCGAAGAAACAGATCTTGGGGTCTGTGCCTCACCAACACTTTGACTCACATGGCAATGGAAGTGGATGTTTATAGAGGAGAATCGTCATAAAAAAAGGGCGATGCCATCCACTTACCATGTTAGTCAGTCGGAACGACCAAAAAGAGCCATCTCCATTCATGAACAGTCAGTTCTGTTCAATCTCGGGAGTGGCAGCATGGGGTGGGCTACGGTCTGGTGTTGCCGAGGGGTCTCTCAAGAGTATCGGCCGAAGAATATTAATCCTTTCGGCCTCTCAAGAAAGAACAACAGTGTTACTAACAGGGTTCCTGCCGAACATGGGCCGTACCGGATCGAGACCCAAAAACCTCGCGCTAGACAGTTGCGAAGTATAATCATGTATAATAATGAATATTCATATTCTCTGATGGTCATTCTTGGTTCATCCTCGCTATGTCTATTCTGATGAGACCTAGGATTCCTCGCTTTTCGTGACCTTTTTTCGAAGGTCAGATTCCTGATCACATCTGAGCCCCCTGCTCTAAAGACTATGACTAAGAGTATTCCCGGATGGGCTCCTGTCCCATCTCCTCAGGTTCGGTGGTTAGACCCCCAAAACCCACCCCAACCATCTTCTCAGGAGGTGGTTGGAGCCCTAGGGCCCTAGGGATTCTAAGAATGACATCAGAAGAAAATCACCTTGCGATGAACTCACCGAGGCTTTGGCTTCATCTTGACGATCGCCGCCTTCTGCGGCATGGGCAATTCACCCGTCTTCCAAACGCCGGGGGGCCAACAGGGGTTGCCGTATCCAACATGATTTTTGTTCATGGATGTTAACACAAATCAATGCCTGATCATCGGAGTCCCATGGTGAAGTACCAGAAAAAACATATTTTTGCCTTACCTGTGGATCCTGCGTCCACATGGTGATTCCACAGTTTCAACGCAAGATTTTGAAATATATCATTGTTTTTTGGACACCGGCGTCCCAATGTAAAACACAGGGTTCTGCACTGACATCTTTGACTTCCTGAATGCGTAGCGTCCCATGCGGTTTGGCCATGCCCACGGCCGATGCATTGACTTTCATCTTTGGGTGTACAATATTATACGTACCTAGAACCCATTTGACGTTTGTTTTGATAGGACAGGACCATTTTTGGGCTCCAAAACAGGGGTCAATCAGGTTCTAGGTATATATACTGTATCGTTTTTAGGTTTTTGCCTTAGGTTGGCCGTCAGTTCGCTTGGTGAATGAGTTTGGATTGAAACATGCTTTAGAAGATCCCTGACTTCACACTTTTCCCCACAACTCGAAGGCCTTTGGCATTTGCTTCCTCGAAGGCCTCGTTCGTTGATGACTTTGGTGTGGTTGTATATTAAGCACTCACCTGTTGTTAAAATCCTTGCTAAAACCAGACATCAGCAGCTGTTTTTAGTGTTTGAAGCATGTCCCAATGTGTTTGACACCTTTGGCAAAGGTCCAGAGTGAGAAGGTGCGAAGGTGCGGTGTTGTTCGGCATTCTTGTTCTCTATGTTGGGCGAGATCGCCGCTCTACAGGCCTTTTGAGAAAAGACGGTGGGGGGGTTCGTCGTTCGAAGACCGGACGTGATTGGGAGAAGACCGCGGACCACGGTTCGTCTAGACCGGTGATGCTCCGATGTTCTGCTGATGCTGCGGCACGAGCGTTGGAAGACATGTTGTTGGACACTTTCTATGATAGAATGTAGGCACACGAAGGTGTTTGTGATGCATTTTGGTTTTATTACTTGTCATCCTCATATAAAGATGTGATTTAGTTGAGAACAGCTGTCACTTTGTTTCGCCACGCCCCCCCTTTCGCTGTTTGACACACCACGGACGCTATCGACGGGACATGACGGGACAAGGATGCGCTTGGTCTACTCCATGTGCGGCGTGCCTGACCTGAATGGGAGAGTGATGGAGAGTGTATGGATTGAGTAGTGAGTAATGTTTTTCTTTCCTCATGTGAGAAAAACACATATCATTACTCAATCCAGGTGCAGAGACGGGGGATGGATGTCATGTTATGCTTCACAGCACTGAAGGTGGAGGGCATCGATGGAATGGTACAGAAGTTCTGTGAGAACGGATAGGAAGTCTTGCCGATGTTCAAGAAGTGGGTCATATACAGGATTTGTTCCATAAGAGTCAACGCGAAGGACAGATGCAGGATGTTGGGGTGGCCAGCTGTCCAGCAATAGAGCCTTTCAATGGATGTCAAACTGTCCAGCAATGTGAAAGGGTCACCTACCCAGGGCAAATGCAGCTGCAGAACAAGCATGGGGGATCTGACCTGGCTTGTTATATCCCCATGGGTTCACGGGCGATTGAAATCCAACACATCCTACAAATGTGGTGATGTTAGCCAGATCCAACTGGGGATGTTAGCTGGTACATGGATTTTTGGAGTTTGGGAGGTCCATGATGTACCACTTAGCTTGACCTCGTCGAGGTTCCCTGGATCGTTTCGGAGGGTTGGCTTGGCCTCCCATGGCCTGGCCGTGGGGCATGAAACACGAAGTGAGGTCTTGGTCTTCTCCTGCTTTATTGTCTTGGACACCCAGCTGATTGCAGCTTGGCCAGCACTAATGGTGCCGATGAATGCACGCAGAGGCCATGTAAAGGTTATCTTCTCGGTACGAGAGCGAATCTTGGCATCTTGGGCAAGGAATTTCAGGGGTGCACTTCCTGAAAGAATCATGGTTATGTGGATGGCACCAATTGTTTCGATCTGTTTGGTATTTGGATTTCATGGTCAGCGGGAATCGGGGCCATTTTCCCATCCACGAAACCATGATGATTTCAGGGAGTGTACTTTCTTGGTGTCCAGTGGGGTTGCAGAGCTTCTTGACCGATAGAATAACACATGAGCACGCTCACATGGAAACAGACTGTGAACTGTACTGTAGCTGTTGAAGACCTAGAAACTCACATTGTGCACCCTTCTTTGAGTCAGCGACCTTTGGTATGTTTGGAATAGCTTTGGATCAACTACAGTATCTTATGGTAATAGCAGTCATTCAAATCTAAGAGGGTTTGACCATGGGACTCTGTGTTCGCACCGGTCCAGGTCGGAAAACAATGCCATCCAAGCTGCAAACACTCCACTCCACTCCCCTTTTCAGTGGATGACTGGGTGGGTGGCTGGTCTTCCACCCTACGCAGCGACCGCTGCCGATGCGAGGTGGGAGGGAAGCACAGCAAGTTCCGCTTTGGCGTCGATGACTACTGCATGGCGGCCATCAGCCCCTTGGGAAGCTTCGAGGGGCGCGGGGTGCAGCTAGCTGCAGCTAGTACGGAGCCAGGAAGTGCGTAGAACCACAGATTTTCAGGAGAACCTGTTGTGGGGGAGCATCCTCAGTGAAGTGATCTTGTTGACAGAACCTTTTTCGTTGACGCAGAGAAGAACCCATACCCTAGCAAATTCGTACGAAGCACTTCTAGGCTACTGTCGATGCCATGTTCCATGCCAGTTGTTCCAAGTCGATGCCCATAAATGAAAAGAATTCCCATGTGATGTGTCATGCGCCCTGCTACCGGTGCCCAGACCTCTACATGGACATCGTGCAGCTCTTCTTGTACTTGCTGCAACTCATGGGCGCCTGGTCCAAACGACTCGTCGCTCGCTGTGGCCGGCGACATGGCGTCATGGTTACGTTGCCCTGGCACGTCTGGAGGGAACCGTAGCAGAGCTGGGAACTCACTATATATATATATATACCTGGGGCCTGCAAAGCCCCTCTTATTTCTGGATGTTTTGGGATAACCTGGTTTTCAGATTTAGCACAAGAGAAAACCTGGTTTCTTCTTCAATTCCATGGAACGACCACTTTCCTTTCAACGACCAATAATTTGATCAAACTCCTGACATAAGCTCCAAAGAGATAACTAAACCCCACCCAAACCCCTGACGCCTGTGAGTTCACCGCCCAGCCAGAAGAGAGATGGAGCTGTGGACTCCAAGATCGTGGCTCAATATCAGAAGAGGCTCTGAACATCCTTTTGGACACCTGTGGTTGGAACGCATCACATATCCCAAATTGAAGGGGGTTTGACATGTCAAGTATTCTTTCAACCCTCGAGTGCATTGCAATGGCATCCTTTTGCCAAAACCCTTAAGGTCATGCTGGCATGCTTAAAAGGCCCAATCCCAGCACCCTTGCTTTCCATCTTTCATGGCCCTTCTCCAGCTGCAGCGGCTGCCAGGCACCTGTGCAGTGTTGCTGGCGGCTGGTGACATTGGAAGGTTGGCCCTCTGTGTGCAACTTCCAGAGCATGGTACCACACAGGCATGTATACATGCAGTGATGTTGTTCGTGTCTTCACCGTCCTACACCACTTCATCTTCGCAGCAACTTTTGTGCAGTAAGGTCCCCAAAGTGTCTCAAGTCAATCTCATTGGATTCCGATGGCGATTCCAACTTACCTCATGGGTGTGGATCAGGTTTGGGAAGGCCAACGTGACCTTCGTTCCAGGTGTGCTCAGGGTGGCTGCTTGATGCTGAATCCGACTGGTACCGGACCTGTGCTTGCATCCTTGAAGAGCATCAAGGCCAATGTGGAGATTCTGGCAGTCATCACACAACGCATGGCACAGCATGGGGTCATTGCTAGCGCTGGGGTGGATGCTCTATCATCCGTGGTGCTTGACTTCTACGTCGCGGCCAACTTTCCAAAGGAAGCCCTTGCTCCATCCTTGGCTCACCAGGATGCTTGGGGCATCAAGCGTTGCCTGACCTTTTTGCGCCGGAAGTGGGGACGTCGTGAGGTTGCAAGGGACACTTTTTCCAGACTCAGGTGTTTTAATTTATGCATGTGGTTCTTTTGTTTGGGTTCTTTTGCCTATAGGTTTTGGCACATATAGTCAAACATGAACCTGCACAGTGAGGATCCTGAGATCAAAAGCCTGCTGGATGATTATCAGAAAGCCTTTCAGACTGCATTGGCTGTTCCTTGCCTATTTTGATCAAGCAATTCTTGTTTGTGCCTTTTTCATCCATTTTCCATATTGCCAGCCTTTGCATTCTATGTCCATTGCTGAACCATTGCTGTCCCTCAATTGATTTCTCCAGCATCTCCCAGGATGGCGCTGACGCAGATGCTCTTCTTGCAGGGGCCGATGCAAGTGATGCGGCTGATGGAGGGGAAGGACGCGATGGCAGCTCAGAGGCAGCCAGTGCTGGTGGGAGCACTGCTGAAGTTGCTGCTGAAGAAAAGGGTGATGAGGCAGCTGAAGCTGACATTGAGACGGGAACTATGGCTGAAGATCCGAGTTCATCCACATTGTCAGTGGCCTATGACGCTTGTGATGCTTCTATGGTCGCGCCTGAAGGTCAACCAGTTCTTGAGGAAAGCAGCACTGTGCTAGTTGAGGGTGGTCCAAATGTAGCAGCTGTGGAGCAGCCCGTGCCTAAACCAGGTGCTGCTGATGAACTGGTTTGTGAGATTCCTGACAGCCAACTGGACCCCATGTTTGAGGATGAAAGGCTCCTAACCGAAGACTGGGAGGTGTCCAAGACGGAGCCAGAGCTCACAGTGGATATGCTCACACCGGATATGATCACATGGGACATGAAAGAGGCCGTGCTTACGATGGCGAAGCAGAAGCTGCAGGCCAAGGAGATGCATCTTGCCTGTTGGATTATGCATGTTTTTGCCTCATTTTCTAATGTGTCATACAATGGTCGGGAAGCCACAAAGACAAGATGGACGGTAAGAATTTGTGGCCTCTTGATCTTCTGGGTGGCAATTGCTTCAAGTGTCCCACCTTTTTAAATCATGGTTTAATTCCAAATAGCAACCTCCAAAGCTGGCAGTTGTGTTTGTCCTGTTGGTTTTTCATCAAGGCTGGCCACGGAGCGATCTGTTACCAAGAAGGCTACCACCATGGACCGGTCTGGCACCACTCTCTTCAGTTTCTTGGCTCCATGCCAAGCCAGTCTTTTGTTAACTTTGCCAAATGCATGCAGGTTTGTTGGAATGCATGGGTGGGCATAGCCGGATTCAGGTGAGCCCATTGACCTGATCGACGATGGGGATGACATTCCTGCAGAGGTCATTCGGGAGATGAAAGCTGCTCCGATGGAGCACCAGGAGACAGTTCCGATGCATGTGGACACGCAGCTCTTGACAGGTGTTCTATTCGAAGCTGAATGCAAAGAGGCATCTGCAGCATCGGTCTCAGGCTTCCTTGACCTTTCGCCGCAGGAGGAGGCAGGGAAGTTGGTACAAATCTTTTTTGCAAGCCTAGGATAACTTGTCCGAGAGATTGTCATTTTTTTGCGCTGGCTAAAGGTCTTGAGTCTTGACCACATTTTTGGTTCGTCTGCAGTGCACCTGTGCCCTTTGAGGTGATTGAGAGAAAAGACCAGCTCAGCTTGAAGGGTGCAGGAGGCGGAGGTGACGAAGGTGAGGATGGCAGCGCCAAGAAGCGCAGGAGGGGCAAACGTGCCAAGAAGGCCCGTGGTGGAAAGAAAGGCAAGAAGGCAGCCAAGAGCAGCAAAGGCAAGGCCAGGGCTGCGAAGAATGGGAAGGATCGCAACTCTGACAAGAAGGGGAAGACCACCAGGAGGGCCAAGCCACGCGCTGAAGATGTGGAGCTGGAAGAGACTGCTGAGCCCAAAGGAAAGCGTGTCAAGAGGTGCGCAGAGAAGGCTTTGGGTGAGGCCGCTGCTAAGGCCGCTGCTAAGGCCAAGGCCAAAGCAAAGGCAAATGGTGGCGTGGCGGCGAAGGGAAAGGCATCGCCAGACAAGACCAAGTCGCCCAAGACTTCGCCCCCAGGCACTTCGAAGAGGTCTTCTCCCAAGAAGGTTGATTCTGAGGCAGCGGAGTCAGGGCGGCCTTTGACATTTGCACGCAGGTACTGTTCCCCCAAGTCTCCTGCAAAGGAGAAGTGGATTGCAATTGTTGATGCCTTCCAAGCCGATGTTGCACCGAGCCTTGAGAGCGGCACAAAAACGAAGATGGAGATCGACTTTTGGCGCTTTTGCATGAGCTATCACAAGGAGAAGGGGGGCTCAACTGAAGTGGATGCCATGGCCGAGATCTTCACGGAGGCTGCCAAAGACTTCATGAAGGCATTGAAGGCTGTAGCCTGTCAGCCAGAATACTTTAAGTTTTAATTTCAATTCTTTTTCACTGGTGACCTTCTTTCCTCAATTGATCAACTGGGGTTGTGAAGTGGTTGTGCAGGGAGTGGTTGGCGACAGCAGAGGCACGACCCGCGTTGACGACTTCGTGATGCTCATTGCCACTTCTGGCTTGGGTCGATCTGACTATAGTTGAGCCTTGACGGCTTGGGGCCTGAGAGATCAGTGTAGATCCACATGTGCAGACCACATGTGCGGAATTTTGGCAGTTTAGATTCATGCTGTTTCAAATCTCCGCGTGTATAGGAACACCGTGCTTAGCTTGCACAGTGAATGAACACGCTGAGACAATACGTGGACAGCGTGGGCTGGCTAGGGCAGGGCTCATCCAACCACCAGGCGTGGGGCACCCACATGCACATGTGCCAGTGTAAGTGTGGTTGCGCATACCGCTTTTGTCTTGATTGAATTGATATATGTAGCATATGCAGTGTTGCTCATCTTATTGTGTTTGTTTGTGTGTCTTTGGCCATTCTCAAACAGCACAAAAAGATCACTCACTATTTCTGAAGTCTGCACATGCTTCATGCATGCATGTCCCACAAAAACGATACGGAAGTGATCGACCTTCTCTCTCCCAATCGCGATGGCACCTTGGACAGCAGAAGCGCTAGTGCCACGGCTCTTCGCCTTGGGCGCTCCGAAAATCTTGGTGCTGTGCGTGCTCCTGGTCTTATGGAACACGGATATCCGTTGGGGCCAGAAGGATTGTCAAGTCAATTAGAACTAGCAACCTTTTGGGTCTCTTTGTTCTGAAGCAACCAAGAGAGCCTGTAAACGCTAGGTTCAATTCTATATGCATGCATGCATATATGCATGCAGACATGTTTGAGTGTTTTTGGATTGCACTGACTTGGATGTCTTGGTGGAAACGTGTCCATACAGGAGTTTTCCCTCATTGAGCACTTCAGTGGAATTGGAATGCTCGCTGATGTCTTCAAAGACACCGGGTATGCAGCTGCAGAAATAGACAAAATCCACGGTCGAGGGTGTGACATCCTGAAAGACTCTGGCTTTGGGTACCTGGCCCTTAACTATAAGTGGTGTGCTTCTTGACTGCTTTGTCCCTCCCAACCCTTAAAGAGACGACTGTGAACTGAGGGTCTTCATTGCCACGGTCCTGATGGGAGATGCAACCAATGGATTTGTGGACTGGATGGGTGTATTGTGCTCTTCTTGGGTTTCAACCTCGGTCGGGACCACGCACAGGAGTTGGTGCAATGCGCATGGGTTTGTGGAATACAGGAGTGTTTGCGAAGGAAACTTGATGGCTGCAAGGTGCTTGGTATAAGTTTTATTGCAGCAGTTGCCTTGGTGATCTCAGCAATTTAGAGGAGTTCCATTCGGGGGATCTACCATTTCTTTGAGTTCATACATAGCTCATCTGGGTTTGTGCCAATCACCATGGCAGGCTGCAATGAAACTCTGCATGTGGGATGTGGAGGGTGGA